TCGTCATAAACTCTGTCAAAACGGTGCACAATCCATCATATAAGGCTTACAAGAGTGTCAGCTCCATGTAGGGGTCAGTCAAGCATAGGTCAGGGCCAAGGTCAGGTCAACCGGGTAGGCACATATCCCCGAAAATCAAAACTGATATTCGCAGCCTGTGACACATGTTTTATGGGTAATTTGGAGCGTAGAACACGATGGTGACATTATTTTTCTCATATGTGTACGAGTTTGGCTCAAAAAGTTCAATTTAAGAAATTCATGTATCATGGTCGTGAAGAAGTCACGAGAAATTGCCAAGATTCAGTTCAAGATTTTGGAAAATGCGGAACAATAATCAATAATCGAAGATAGCCATTAGATTGCTAATGGTATTGGCAGTCTAATGGCGTTTACGGCATGTCTGTATATCTATTCTGTGATTTTATATGATTTTTTGAACATATGCCATTTTTGGTCGAAAACGCAGAAATCATGACGTCACTAAAACCTCGATATCTCAAAAATTTTCTGACCGATTTTTTTGAAACTTTGTCAAAATAAACTTCAATCAATTCCCTACAGGTACCCAAAATTTGGCGCGCCTGCGGTGCGCCGTTTTAATGCTATGGCCCGGGGAAAAAAGTGGGGGCGTTTAACGCCCCCCCAGCAACTCGCGGGTTAAACCGCAAGTATGTAGGTAGAACAAATCTTTTAAACGTGGAGCTGATAGGCGAGACGTTTAAAAGATTTTTCTACCTACGAGCAGTTTAATGATTTTATTCCGTACCACCGATATGTTTCGGGCGCTTAAAGGTAAAAAATACATTTTATATAAAAATACGACATAATTCAGACAAGACGCAATGTCTAATAGACGTTTATCAGTTTGTTAATCGATTAAACGACATCTGATAATTTTCCCTCTTTGCACGTGAAGCAATGGTAAACACTGTTTACGGTGCGGGATAAGTTTACTTAACGGATATCTGCACTGGGCACATCGGATGCGTCATGTCTTAACAACTGTACGCACTTTATTTATTTACCGTAAACCGGGGTGAGTTGATATGGGGTGGTGAGTTGATATAAATTGCTCGAAAAATGTTAAAATGTGTGCTGCTCATCCATTTGTCAACCAATTTTCAGTTTTCTTTTTCTGTGAAGTGAAGCAACCAATAAGCGATGCATATTGCTGAGAAAGGCACGCATGTGGTGCAGTGCCTTCTTAACACATTACTTTTTTCAAAGTCCTTTTTTTTTCTTCTGATTTTGAAACTAAGGAAAAGTCCCCACCCTATAGCAAAGACGGTGGGTATTCATGGAACAACATGCACTGGGAAAGAAACTACCATCAATTTACTGTTGATCCCAGGTAGTTTTGGGTTTCACCTATAACAACGCTTTTTTATAATTTTAAGAAAAGTGACAGGTGGTGAGTTGATATGCCATCAAGTGGTGAGTTGATATGCATGATAAGGGCTAATACCAGGCTGGTATGCATGCACATTAGCATGAAATATGGGTCTGCAGGTAAGACAAAGTCAATTAGACCAACTCTTCTCCTTTTCTCCCCCCACATCACCCCACCAGCCCCCAAAAGCTTTAGTTTTTCTGAATGCTTGAGACGAGGCCTGTTAGTATCACTGATGTTAGTTGTCGGACTTTCGTCCCCGTCTTGAGTTGAGATGTTAGTTTCACAACGTTTCATCCAGTAACTTCTCCGGTCGTCACATCTGCCTCGATAGTGGAGCGGTTAGAACCGTGGACCATCAACGGGGAAACCCGAGTTCGATTCCCGCTGACTACAGGAGCTTTCGAACGGTATGACGCTTACGGCGCAACGACACCAACATTCAGGTCCTTCTGGGGTTCAAAGAACACCTGACGACGGCCGGAGAGTAACTGGCCGAAATGTTGCGAAACTAACATCTCAAGACGGGGACGAAGGTCCGACTACTAACATCAGTGACCCCAAAGTTTTTTTTTCTGTGGACATACCTAACATGCAAAAGACACAGCACAACTCCCTGTCAAGTCTCAAGATGGCTCCCTACAAGCTACAAAGGAACACTATAGAACACCTATATACATACTAACATACAGATTAAAAAATTGTTATAATTATCCGTAGTTTCGAAAATGACAGAACTGTCGTTTCTGTATGGCTAACAGCGCGGGAATTCTGATCTCGTGAAACTGATTAGTTTTCCTGCTTGGCAGTTGCCAACCGAGAATGAGTGACAAAATGAAATGGAACAAACAATATAAAGAAATTGACTGGTGTTTTAACCCTCGCCCGTATTCGTGTTTTGCCAGCGTCTAACGTATAGGGGGGGGGGGGGTCTGTTGGAATCCCATCGCCGTTTGGCCCGTGATGGAGCTAGAGCTTCGCGGAAAAAAACGAGCGTGCTGCCCGAGACGCGAGGAAGCCGATGATAACCAACTTTAAGGTCCTAGGTCATTGGTTAACCTTCCAGGTCAGGTCAATTGCCCAGAAGTCGGGAAAATAGGGGGTTATTTGAGGTTCGTAATGCGAGGTTGTAATTATTTTTTGGGGTTGCTGATCACGAATGTCATGCTAGTTTTGATCACAGATGTCTTCGTACATTTAGGCCAGGTCAGGTCAGGTCAAGTCAACCAGTAGGTGTCCTGCCGGCTATTCATAGGGAGTGTCAAGTGTCAACTACCACTGACGGTGTCGTAACATGTTACGAAGGCGCTAAAACTACTTCGTAAACGATCAAATGCATGCTAAATTCGAAATCGGCCCGAAAAAAACTACCCTAGAAACATGTAAAACTCCAAAAAGTGAACCGAAGTCACCAAAGGTCAATGACCTGACCTGACCTTCAGGTGGCCTTGACAGTTGACACCCACAATACTGCATGGGACCAACATTATTTCACATGTTTGGACGTTACAATCACAAAAAGACTGGAAATGCGCGGATAATGTGAGCCGACATACGCCAAATCGCGATTCCGGCCAAGCATGGTCTCGAGAATCAGGTCACAAGTCAAAAGCCATTTGGGTCAGGGTCATGAAATTTTTAGAACATGTGTAAAATTGATAAACTCGAGGCGTACTGAAATTTTCGTCGCGATCGGCCGCTTTTTGCGCGAGTTATGTGCGAAAAGCCGGGGTGGTCCGTTCGACCGCCTATAAGTGCGAGGGTTAATTTTGGCTTTTGATGCCGATTTTTGTGTTATGTCGCTTATTTCACCTGATAGAATACGGTCCGAATTAGATTCGCTTCACTTCACTTCATTAATATTTTGTTGTATCAGTCAACAAAAGCTCAGAAGCATATGTATTCTTTCATTTCAATCCATTGTCTCTGTCAGAGGCATATCAACCTTGACCCGCAACTGACAATGTGTTTTAATTACAAGAAAATACACTTGTAATTCCAAAATATATTGCCAGTTTTGATACCGTTGGCTTGAGGACACGTGACTAGCCAAGTTCAGAATGTTCTAAGTAAAAAAAAGTATCATAAAGCAAAAAATGCTGCTGCTAAAATCAAGCCATTTTGATAGCGCTGTGCTGAACATGATTGCGTTTTCATGAATGTGAGGTCTGCTGCCAAACTACTACCATTTTTCTGATGGTTTCTTTCAGGATGTGTTCTCTCATCCTTTTTTTAAACACTGGCATTTTATCAACTCACCTCTGAGCGTCTTTAGCCGAGAAATTTTGATAAATCCAAAACCATATCAACTCACCACCCCTCAGGGGGCGAGTTGATATGAACTTTGGCGTTTAAAAAAGGGGCTTAATATATACATTTTTTATTCATTTTGGCTGATTGCCTCCCCAAGGCATGTGCCATGAAACTGGCACAAAAAGAATTCTGCAAATGATTGTGGCTTTTAAAGAAATCTAGAAAAACCTCAAAATCCATATCAACTCACCCCGGTTTACGGTACTTATTCACATATCAATTTATTTGTTTATTCATTCTTTTGTTCATTCATAAATTCACTTACTGATTCTTTTATATTTCTTTGCCTACATTTAACCCTATTACTGGTGGGGGGGGGGGGGCGAATCGGCCCCCACCTGTAGTATTTTTTTTTCTCTCGACGGAAAACGACTTAACCCTAATACTGGTGGTGGTGGGGGGGGGGGGGAGCGAATCGGCCCCCACCTGTAGTTTTTTTTTTGCTGCTCTCGACGGAAAACGACTTAAGCTAGGGGCTCGAAATTTGGTGACTTTTCCTTGCTATTCATTGGGCATATTATGTCAAAATTTGAGTTTTTAGCTTGCGCAGAGGCGTCTCCAGGGCCCCGTTTCATAAAGCGAGTCCGTAACTTACGCCGATTTTTGGTCTTGTATTGCAAGTGCATGTGAAGCGATGACGATAGTTTGAATCGTTGAATTTATTTATCTTGCAAGCAAGAACAGAAGGGAGAAGTGGAAATAAATTTATCGCTTTACATGAGCTTGCAATACAAGCCCAAAAAACCGGCGTAATTTACGGACTCGCTTTATGAAACGAGGCCCAGGACGAGTTTCCCGGGGGTAGTTTTGACCCAGCTTCGACTGTTTCGACATTTGCCGCTAAGCAGCGACTTACTTAGGTTTGTACTGGTGATCAGTGGCACCACTCGTCATATGTATGCACCTAAAGACTATGTGACGTCATTTTACAATGAAAATATTTGAATAGGCAGATCCAGGTACCTGAGAAAGGGGGGTAATATCAATATACTGCCCCCGTCTTAGCGTGCCTGAATCCGCCTATGCTTAACGAAAACGTGCATTTTGTGCTCACGTTGCATATTTTACACGATATATGACACATCATGTCATATTTCTGTGACACCCAGACTGATAACTTTTAAGAAACACAATGAACACAATTTGACCAAATATGCACCAAATCTGCACCTAATGTACACCAAATGTGTACCAGATGGCCGTCATGAAAACGGCTATTGTTTCGTGCCGTAAGTATGTACGTTTGTTTACCTATTTGACCATTATTCGGATGTGCCGCCGTTCCTTTTTTCAGACTGCGTTGTGTCTGTTGTACGGGAAGGAGAAGGAGGAGGAGGACGCCGTCCTGACAGAGGCAGAGGCCAAGAGGAAGGAGGAGCTGGCCCGCGAGCTGCTGGACGTGCTACAGAAAGTGTACCCAGGTCAGCTGCAACGCACAGAGGGGCCATCTCTCAGTGACCTCGATCGCTCATCTCAGGGACAGTCCAAACCGGATCGCGATAAGATCTGTTGATGCATCTACCGTCCACATTCGTACGGCACTGATCGAAGGCAAACGTGCATGCTCTTTAATGATAAAGCTCCATTCTGCGATGTGCCCGGGTTGCAGAGCAAAAACGGCCGCTGTGTAATAGCACGGCCGCTCGGGCGGTCCGCCGCGGCTGCCGGCCGAGTTGGAGCCTTGCCGTGTATCGGAGTGATCTGAGGCTCCGGCGGGCGGGCTGCCGTTACTCGGTGGTGCTGTGAGGAGACCGGGGTAGGGATTGGTGCCGAGGTCACCACCGGTTGTCCTGTCTCCAGCGAATGGCAGCGGTCCAGTCAGTACAGCTTACGAATCTGGTTATAGATGTCATATTCGTCCGATCTCCTGCAAATGTCCTACTCCTACGCTATTGTGTATTGCATCCATGTCCATGAACGGTATCACATTGATCATAATTCACAGTAAACCGAACCTCAACCAGTTCTGAGGCTGTTTGAAAAAAAACAGCACCACTAAATTTGTCAAAATGTCTAGCCATCTCGTTTGCGCTACTTCGAGCGAAAAGCCGCGGCGCTGGCCTCCTGCGATGGATTTGTGCAGCATCCGGCCGCTCCTGCAGGTATTTTGTCGTGTCTCAAGGACAGGCCGTAAACCGTCGGCTTAGCCACGGTCCTTCCATGTCACGATCGCTCTCAGCTGTAATTAATGCTCGAATGGGCTTGCTCTTCACAGTACACATTTATAATGCACTTTTCATCCGCAAAACTTCCACGCTAATTAATAAATTTTAAGCCGTTTTGAGAAGTTTTGTTGTGTGCATAAACGTAAAAGCACTGGACAGATTTTCAAGGCTGTTCACTGTTCAGTGCTATTACCGGCTGCCGCGCTGTATCTACAAGGAGTCAGTATAAAGCAGCTGGTGACCCCAGGACGTATTTGTTCCCCCAGGCCAGAGTCGCCTGCGCGGCGTGCTGCTCTACGAGCTGCAGACGGCCATCCTCCGCAAGGCGCAGATCGACGTCGAGGGTGGCCGCCTGAGGGCGCCAGAGTGGAGGACGCTGGCTCAGGTGAGCGTCGATACCAACCAGATTTCCTACCATCGCAGCGCCACTTGGAAAGCATGTCCTGCACTTAAAACTAGCGTAGGTAATATGCGTCTACTCGTATAAAGATCGAGGTTAGCATAAATAGTCCTACCTTAACCGTCTCATCGTTCGAGCCGCCGAATGAGTATTAAAGAAGCCGAGTCAATATTCGGGAGTGCTGTTGAAAGCATTAGCACGATAGAAAATGTAAAGGGCAGAAGCTCTATGTGTGATTGCGGAATCGCGTAGTTTTGCTGTGTGTCATGTCGTATATCTGACATCTGGATCTCGATTGTTCGTCTACTAAATTCCATCCCCCTGGGAGTGCCCTCGGACGCCGCTGCCCGTATCATATTTCACCGGATTATGAGACGTGTCATGTAACATGAGCGGGTGCAGGGCGCCACGACGTACATCCGCTAGTACATGGTTTATCTGCTCACTAATCACAGGCTCCGACCGACCGACAGATTTGTTGCCTCTTCGTTGGAACTTGCAGAAAAGCTGTTTGACATTGTTTCAGTGTTCTGCTTGGCAGTACGTTCCTGATTCGGCGCCGGTAGCCGACAGGTGAAATGTGACACGGGAGTGTAAATAAAAGTTTTAATTTAGATTCGGTACTGATCCGCTATCACATGGTCAGCGTATTTCGACAAAAGACAGGACACACGACTGAAAATTGTTGTAGGTATGTTAGTTGTATGTGATATAACGTTTCTTTGAGCATAAGGTCAATCCTAACATTTTTATAGCTATATTAGGTTGCATCGGTGACCGGCCAGTTGTGAGATGTCGGTTGGTAGATCGGTTGCGGTGGCGCCCGCTCATCTCCAGGACTAGGACTGGCTGGCTGACCTAGAAGCCGCCTCGGCTGCTCAGGACCTGTCGGACCGTTCCTCGGGTGCTCCGTTTGACGGTCACGCAGGTGTGAGGCTCGCTCAGAGGGATCATTTGTCAGGTGACACGGTGATTTGTCATTGAAGCCGTCCACCGTTCGTCACTGTAGACCACGGCCACCGCTCTCACGGCCACACGGTAGAGCGTGTGGCCTGTCCTCCGCCACCGTGACGGGCCAAAATGAGGCCATTGGTGATTTCTCTGATCATAGAACATGCCTGAGTATTTCACTCCAATGCATATGGACAACATTAACCGCTATTTGAAAGTATTTGAATTTCGTTGAGCAGCTTACGAATGCCGCGAAATAATTATTTCGTCCAATGGTATTTTGTCGAAACGTTCACTATTATCTTGACTTTTATTTGGAATGATTACAAATAAAGCACATGCCTAGGTAGACGGGTTTCGTAGCTACGCAGGTAGGACTTCTTGAGACGACTTTCGCATATTATTGTCTTATGTATGAAGGCAGGACAGGACAGGACATGAATGCTTTTAAAGGCAGGACATGCAAATTCCAAACTAATGCTTTTCTCATGTTTTCGATAAGAAGCTTTCAGGTCTGTGGTAAATAGTGTGCAGTGCAACGGCGCTGATTATGACAAGGCAGCAAAGCCACGGTGACGGATGTAGCTATTTGCTGCCCTTTATATTCTTTCATAGAATGAATCATGTTGTGATGAATGTAGGTACATATTTTCACACCGGTGTATTAAACGGCCATCTTTTCACTGCTCTCCCAGTAAGTACGTGTTACGCACGATGTATGTACAGTTGACTACAGTATGACGTTCCACTCCACTCATAAGAAACTATCAGTTCACTGGAACGCTAGGTTGTGCCGTTTATCACGCAGTTAAGCGTGTCAATTTCGAGCTTTGGGTCGCAACATTTACCCGTGAGCTCAGCCCTTGCGGTACAGCCTACCGCTCCAGGCAACTGATTGTGACAAGTGGAACATCATTCTCTAGTCAACTGCTCTACGTACCGACCCCTCCGTTTGACTTCAGATCTATGCACCCGTCATTCTGACGTCTCTATCTATCCCTCTGACCTCAGAACCCGCCCATTTGACCTATGCACGGGTCCCTCAGATACCTACCCGTATCCTACCCGTATGACTCCTGCCTGACTCCTGTACCGGTCTCTCCATCTGACCTCGTTATCCATCCCTCTGACCCTTGTACTTACCTGCCCCTCTGACCTCTGACCTCTGACCCCCGCCCCCAGACGTGTATGGGCTACCTGGAGGAGTGTGTGGCCATCCTGGAGCGCGAGCCGACGGTGACCACGGAGCGCCACCTGGCGGCGCAGGCGGCAGGAGAGCTGGAGGCGCTCACCAAGGTGCTGGCCGTGGCCGGCTACAAGGCCGTCATGGCCGGCGACGTCTGAGCGCGTCCGTTCACGGCTCAGTGCCGTCTGATCGTGTCCGTCCGTTCAGCGTACCTACCGGCACTGATCGGGAGTCGGGCGCTGAGCTGGCCAGGGGTCCTGAGATGAGGGCAGCAGAGACGGGATAGGTTTTGCTAAAAATCGGCCAGAGATTATCAGTCGGAGCTTTGTGATTTGTTTTTTACATTTTGAAATACGATTTTTGGAAAGTTGTGAACTTTGAATAAATGATGATGTGTTGCATATGAATGTGGATTGTTTGAGTTTTTCGTACTGGTACGTTTGACCACTACATAAGTCCTAAGCGCTGTCTTCTGACTTCCGTCTTCGCTATTTACTTTAGGTACCCATATTTGAGTTTGTCATGAATACCGACCCCATGGAAGAATGCTGTTATGTAAGTAAATATGACAACATTAAATAATGTAGGTATGTATGTACAGCGTACAATTGGGCTGATTCTGATTCTGCTGAATTTTGCATGCTGATTTTGGTGAAATAAGTGCTGATGCTAACTGATCACCGCTAACTGATGAGTCTATTCTATCTACCGACGCCTTCGGCTTAAATAAGCTTATCTCTTTAGTATAGGCAGCGATAAATGTTAGGGCGGCCAGGGCCTTTACCTAATTTTAACGAAAGCCGTGCTTTTTCACATTTTTCCTGTATGAATGCATAGTACGCCTTCAGCTCTGTTAATCCTGTTAGCGGCCTTACCACACCTACCTACATATGTATGAACGTATCTTACGTGCCTCCACTCATATACGCTATACCCACTGAATGTTCCGACTCACCGGCGCGGGGGCCGCTCGGACCGGTACCGATGCCGAGCCGATGGACAAAAAGTCCCAGACAGATGCGGGCAGAATGTCGAGCCACCACGGCATCGGCCGGGTGCCGGGCGGCGCCGCTGCTCTGGCCAGTGGCCACACGCTTAGAGACCCGAATCGAACCTCGCCTCTTCGCGTTCCGAGACCGTTCAGAGCCCGTGCCATCCTCCTGTCTTATCAGGCGCATTGGGTAGAAATGTGACGCCGCGCGGGGCTCCGTGTATGACGCCGCGCGGGGCTCCGGGTATGACGCCGCCCAATGCACAGCGGGCGGGGCGTTTTTACGCGCGTTGCGGAACACTGCGGACGCCGGACACGCGTTGACTCTCAAGGACGCTTGGATGGTCGTCGACTGTGGTTATGATAGATGAGAGGATTCCGTGATGCTCAATGCAATACTGAATGAAAGGGCTATATGCGGCGCCAGAACCATCCTGCCCAAGTGACGGCCCGAGCCGTCCTGCATACTGATCACGGCTTACGGTGACAAGGCGAGAGGAGAAAGAATAACGCTCATTACTCTTGGTTAAAATCTGAGTTTAGCAGCTAAGTTAGTCTCAGTAATGAATCTTTGCATGTCGTTTCATGCATTTCAACGATTAGCTCACGTTTCAGTAGGTACTATGATTGTGCTGTACGTGCATCAACAATGCACGCAGACAACAGATTGCACGTACACAACCCTGTGACGTTCATCCACCAGCCAATGTAGCCAGGGTTGTGCTTGACTCATGAGTCGAGTCAAAAATTTGACTCAACTCTGACTCAAATGAGTCAGATTTGAGTCGAGTCAGATAAAATGTTGAGCTGTTGAGTTGAGTCAGAGTTGAGTCGGACAAAAATATTAAGGTGTTGAGTTGAGTCAGAGTTGAGTCAGTAAAATAACTTTTGACATTAAGTTGAGTCAAAAACATTTAGGAACATGAGTCAGCTGACTCAACTTTCTAGAAACTATATATATATATATATATATAAATATATATATATATATATATATATATATATATATATATATATATATATATATATATATATATGTTACGGGTCATATGCTAACTTGGGCAGTATGCAAACTACCCGGGCAGTATGCAAACTACCCAACAGCCCGGGCAGTATGCATACCGCCCGGGTAGTATGCATACTACCCGACTCCTTGGGCAGTATGCATACCGCCCGGGCAGTTTGCATACTGCCCGGGTAGTATGCATACTGCCCACCTTTCATCTCACGGGCAAGATGTTTACTCGGGCAATATGCTGACCGCGGCTCGTGAGACTAGTTAATGCAATAGCTTGCATACATATGTCTATGACAGACGCTTTAGCCCATGCGCTGAGGCGGTGCTCGGCGACAGCCGTGCCAGGCTGGGGGGGGGGGGGTTGAACAACCCTGCTCGGCTCCTGTGCAACTTAGCGGCACAGGAGTAAGCGGCATGTAAGATGCGGTAAGCAGCATTTAAAATAGGGTAAAAAATCATGACGAAGCTACTGCAGTCATTTTTAGGTCAGGTCAAAAATCAGGTCAATAGAGTAAAAAAGGCCAAATTTGTCGAGACGCGTCGAATGCACTGTACCTAATTTGACTTTAAGCCACTTTGAAAATTTGACCTAAGGTCAGGGTCATGACCTGACATGAAAAGGTCTTGTTCTTTATGAGCCAATCATTATCGTCGCCCTGAACACATCTAAGGTTGTTTACATCGTTCAAACATGTCTCCATCAAAAGTTATCGTAAAACAACTGCTGAAGACATTTGATGACCTGAGATGACTTCATGGTCATAAAGAGAGGTCACAAGTGCCATTTTCCGATTCGGCTTGTCATGTTTACCTGTAACCCAATGTTTGAGAGTGTCTAAAATTATTTTCATCCAAAAATGCATCTTTCAACTTTATCCTGTCAAGCTCTAAGGGGGACTACGCAAAATTGACCTTACCTGAGATCATCGATATTATATCAAAATTATATTATATGCGTTTTGTACAATTACATGCTTTTACTCTTATCAATCGCTAAAAGTTTCAAAGCGATAGTTGAGTCGGTACAGCTATGGCGAGCATACTAGCTTTTTCTGAGATAAGGTCACTTGAACTGACCTGATATCCCGACCATCAGAACTTGTAACGTCTTACGTGTAAATAGTTTCATGCAGCATTTGCTATTGAAGCTGTAGTAAAGCCCCCTACAGGCTCAGGTGCCAAACCAAAGCCAGCGAGTGATGACACTCTCGTCACGCTATATCTGGGCCCTGTTTCACCGGTGATAGCAGCATGCTGCTATCAAGCTGCTATCACACGTGTCAAATTGGGTTTCCATGGAGACGTCAGCAAGCCTATCTCTCCAACACTACCAGAAGTGTGACGTCAGCTCGCGAAATGGAATAGCAGCGTGCTGCTATCACCGGTGAAACAGGGCCCTGGCGTCATTTTAGATTAAAGTGACTTGTTGGCCGTTGGCTAATTAACAATGAAATTCCAAGAAGAAAAATTTGAATTTTTATATTCCAACCCTTATTCCATCCTTCAATCGATAAATCACGTTTGACGGCGCAAAAGGACATCGCGGATGAACTACATTACTCAGAGAGTCATTAATATGTTAAAAATGGACATGGAATACGCAACTTAAAGATGAGAAGCGGGCAGTATGCAAAATGCCCAAGTTTTGGGCGGTATGCATACTGCCCAAGGGGTCGGGTAGTATGCATACTACCCGGGCGGTATGCATACTGCCCGGGCTGTCGGGTAGTATGCATACTGCCCGGGTAGTTTGCATACTGCCCAAGTTAGCATATGACCCGTAACATATATAAGCTTTTCCTTCTCCCCCCGCTTAACAACTTAGGCCTGGCCCTGCTGCCGGATTTTTTTTCACCCCCCCCCGCTCAACAACTTTTTTATCTGAGTCAATTTTGAGTCAACACATTTGACTCAACAAAAAATTTGAGTCAAGTTTGAGTCAACTCATATTTTCATTGAGCCGCTTGAGTCATGAGTCGAGTCAAGGGAAAAAATCAGCTCCTTGATTGAGTCAGAGTTGAGTCAGGGCTTTCTGAAGTTGAATGATGAGTCGAGTCGGCAAATTTTTTTGAGTCGAGCACAACCCTGAATGTAGCTAATGTGGCGCGTTGAGCTGCCTGCACGGGAAGAATACACCCCGAGTCTCGTCCGTGCTTCGCAGCCAAACAAACTGACAGATGATCAGACATGTTATTCACCATTTATTTCATATTAGTCAGGCTGCTTGCACCTTAGTTCAATGCTTCAACTTCTAACGTTCAAAGTTGTTGGTCTTAACCCGCGCCCCACTGGGGGGGCTATTCATAGCCCCCCCCTCCCGTTTTTCTGCAATAACTTCCAAACCGCTTAACGTATCGACGCCAAACTTTCAGTACCTTAGGCTGCATTAATTTGACACCTTGTGTCAAAATTTGAACTTCGTTACTACTATAGGTCGGCCGGAAATGACGTCAGAGTGACGTCATGTTCGGCCGATTTCGACGCAAAACATTGAACCACGGCAATCGCTCCCAAGAGCTCAGTTTTTAAGCTAGATCCAATTCCTTTGCATGAGAGGACTCAGAATAGACTGCGCTATCAAACTGCTATCTCGGATTTTCAAAATTTTGAAAATTTGGAAAATTTAATATAATAAAATCCAAAATTTATATTTTTACATTTTTTCAAAACGTTTTTGACTTTTCGAAAAAACCGGAATATATGTGATAGAACGCATTATTATGACTAACTCTAGCAAGTTTTAGCTAAATATCTTCAAAAATGGCCAAGTTTTACGCATTATTGCAAAAAATTCACAATTATTAATTTTTCAAATCAATTTTTCAGCACGTATTTGACATCGTACGCCAATATGAATAGCACCATCGTGTTCCTGAGCTCAAACTGCATCCAATAGACACCTTTTTTGTTGAAAAATTTTAGCTTCAAAATTTGACCTTTTTTGACCTGAAAGTGACCTGTCCTAAGCTAAATTCGACTCAAAATGACCTCGAATGACACAGACGACAGCAAATTCGAATTCTCTGACCTAAATGGACCATAAAACATGTGTCACGTGACCGACGCATGATATCATATTTTCGTGACCTGTGATGACCTGACCTTGACCTGAAAATCAAAGTACAAGTTTGGTACCCTCAGGGTAACTAGAGCATCTGTTCCCGAGTGTGTGATCCAAAAATGAGCCTGATCTGACTTGTAAGACGGCGGCCAGAGCCCAAAACGTGAACAAGCCAAAATGCTAATAATTTTTACTTTGACCTGACCTGTGACGTCATCGGTGACCTCGAGGTCAATGAAATTAGGTTTCGCTCGACAGTTTTTCCGGGGCTATCAGACGCCGTTTGAATTTTGATGATCGGCCCAGTAGTTTCGGAGTTAGGAGGGGAGGCTATGAATAGCCCCCCCCCCCCCCCCAGTAGGGCGTGTTATACGCAGACCCCAGTGGGGCGCGGGTTAAAAATAATTTGACCAGGCTCATAATAAACAAATGAATTGCCATATAAATGAACGAAAATGTTATGAACTGAGCTGCTATCTCTTTAAGCTTTACCGTATAATGACCATTTGCCGGGTTAACAACCTAAATGTTAGGAAGAACCGGGGCTTCAAATAATTTTTTCAGCCACTAGAGGAATTGCTACCGCTGCCACAGAAGAGCGAATACCAACTACAATGCGAAATGGCTGAGTTGACCCAGGTAACTGGATTAACAAAGCCATGCTCTCCAACAAACGTCGATCTCCAAAGCACCTGCTAATGCAGCACACGCGCACACACGCACGACCACACCACTCCAATACGAGCACACACACACAGCTCCAGTTTGGCCCCTTCACTCGCCCCGCGCCCCGTGCCGGCTCAGCGGATCACCACACACGGGTGGCACTTCTCCAGGTCCACCAGGAAGGTGGGCATGCAGGGCGCGCAGGCCCCCTCCGGCGGGTGCCTCAGGCTCAGCTGGAAGCCCCTCTGGTCGGGTTTCAGTCGGACGGCGGGCTCGTTCGGCGTGGCCAGGGCGGCGATCGCCAGCAGCACGGACGGGCTGCCGACGGTGCGGCGCGACCCCTGCGCGGTGCGGCGCGGCTCCAGCGAGGCGATCCGCATCAGCAGCGACGTCAGCGGGTCAGCCGCCTCCGGAACGGGCTCGCTCTTCGGCGCCGAGGGGGTCCTCCGCCTCGGCGTGGTGCGCGGCGAGACGGTGGTGGGCCGGACGGTGAAGCGGAACGGGCGCCGGGTCGTCCGGGTGTTCTGCGCGCCTCTGGCAGAGAACAGCACCCGACGCTTCGTCGTCGGCGTGGGCCGTTTGGTGGTCACCGCTGGCCGTTTGGAGGTAACCGTTGGCCGTTGGGTAGTCGTCCGCCTTTTGGTAGGTCGTCTGGTGGTTACTGTTGGCCGTTTGGTAGTTACCGTTGGCCGTTGGGTGGTCGTTCGTCTCTTGGCAGGACGTTTGGTCGTGGTCCGTGATGTTCTCGGTCGCTGCGTGGTTGTCAGCGTTGCTGGCTGTGTCGTTGTGAGGCGCATTATGGCTGGTCGTTTGGTGAACAGTCTCCGTGTTGTTGGCCGTTTTGTCGTCATTCGTCGGGTTGTGGTTGGTCTCGATGTGGTTGTGGTCGGCGTTGACGTGGTTGTTGGGCGTTTCGTAGTTGAAGTTCGCTGTGGCCATTTTGGCAGTGGCCGTTTTGTGGTGGTTGACTGCCTGCTGATTGGAGAAGCTCGGCTCCACTTGAAGACCGTCCTTTTAGTTGGCTCGGTCTTTGGCTTCGAGGAAGTGGAGGGAGGCTTCCACTTTGGAAAGGTTCGCCTCGTAGTTGGGACGGTCGTAGTTGTCGTCGGACGTTCCGTTGTGGATGTTCGTCGTTTCCAGAACGGCACCGGTCGCTCCGTTGTCGGGGTTTGTTGTTTGCCAAACGGCGATAGCCGTGCTGTTGTTGAAGTCGTCCGTTTCCAAAACGGAAGTGGCCGTTTTGTTGTGGTTGTTGTAGTTTGTTGTTTCGCGAACGGCGACGGCCGTGGCGTTGTCGAGGTTCGCTGTTTCCAGAACGGAGGTGGCCGTTTTGTTGTCGTAGTGGTTGTCTTTGCCGAGGCGACCTCTCGCTTCTTGGCATCATTCGTTGCACTGACGGCAGTCCCGAAGGAAAAGCCGAATCTCTTGGGCGCTTTTTCAGCACTTCTTCGTGCACGGATGCCCTTTTGTTCTATAAGATGTCGACCCAGATGTTCGTACACATTTAGTGCCGCGTTTTCGATCTCGTTTGCAATGACCCTAGCATCTTCAAGCACCGTGGTCTTTACGCCATCTGCAAGAAATGTTGTGAAAGCAAATGTTACAAACCATCCTAATATGGTTAAGATATTTACTTGCCCTTACATACACATAATATATTTGAAAATCGATTTTCTTATTAAAGCAATTATACTTTATATCCTATAAAAAGAATTGAGAGAAAGAGAGAGAGAGAGAGAGAGAGAGAGAGAGAGAGAGAGAGAGAGAGAGAGAGAGAGAGAGAGAGAGAGAGAGACAGAGACAGAGACAGAGACAGAGACAGAGACAGAGACAGAGACAGAGACAGAGACAGAGACAGACAGACAGACAGACAGACAGACAGACAGACAGACAGACAGACAGCAGACAGAGATAGAGACAGAGACAGAGACAGAGACAGAGACAGAGACAGAGACAGACAAACAGAAACAGACAGACAGACAGAAAGAATAGTGATAAAGGATGACGCACGACCCGGTAAACCACAAGCTGGTTATCCCCGGCACATGTTCGAATCGCACGTACCTTGCGAAGGGGACAGACGACTCCTTGCTGTCAGAATGTCCTCGGCTCTCTGCGAAAACGTTGTATATTTTCATCAATGAGTACCTAAAATTATTACCAGTATAACGCCTTTTGGGGCGACTAACGGAGCGAGCGAGAGGGTGAGCCTTGCACGTGCGAAATTTCGAGGGGGTACCTCCAGCTGACTTGTGCACGGCACCCTACTAACCGGTCTCTAGCGATGTGCCAAATTTGAGCACAATCGGCCCAGCCGTTCTCGAGATCTGGAAGCGGCACCCTGCACGTGCGCACGTGCAAAATGGGTCCCATCTGACTTTTGCACGGCACCCTACTAACTGGTCCCTAACCGTGTACCAAATTTGAGCGCCATCGGTACAGCCGTTCCGAGATCTGGAATCGACCCCTGCACGTGCGCACGTGCAGCAGCACCCCAACTCCAGCACATGGATATGCAGTGCCTAGTGGGTGCCTACCTACATGCCAACTTTCAGCGCAATCGGCCGAGTAGTTACCGAGATATTGCAACAATTACAAAAGTGACACCTCTTCGTTTTGCACGTGGCACGTGCATAAGGGGTCAGCCGGGTCACCCACATGCATCGAGAATAGTCCAATACTTGGTAGAAGGAATGAAGCTACCCTACAAAAATTACCGCGTGCAAATCGGTCAAGTGGTTGTTGAGATATAAGCGTCGCAAAATCGTGACCACGGCCGGCGCTCATACTCAGAAATTTCCGTTAATCTAAGGAAAGACTCCGCTCGCTTCGCTCGCTCCGTAATCAAACTCAGTGAACGTAACCTTGAGCTGTCATACCACTGATAATTGAGAGATGTTTTGTGACATTCAATAACGAATGACCACCGTAGGTAACACGGCATTCACAAACATCTGCGCTAGGAAAAATGTTATTTAATCAGCATGCCACACCAGGTAGCATTATTAGGCAGCTGCCCTTTTCTTTATGGTTCGGTTAACTGGTGAATATTGTATGCAGTTATATCAGGGTCGGCGAAACAGCCACTTAGATTATATCAACGGTACAATAAAAATATTTAACTCAATATAATAAATAATACAATTTACACTACTTTTAAATGGTGGTAAATAAATGGCCATGAAAACGTGTTTCTATAAAGGGTGAAGCCTGTCTAGCTACATTCGATTTAAAGCTGGCTGCATGTCGAACGGTTAAGCCCTAAATTGCTTCTTATTAGTCCCTATGTTTCACCACGATAAGCATAAAACGCACCGAATGTGCTTACGTTATGTGCGTATACGATGTCTGGGTATCTCACTGATCAACGCTTTGCAGACATACATAGATAATGTTATGAAACAGTGGAGTGCAGGGATCATAAAGACTCTTCTGGTGTAAGCTAAAGAGGAAGATCTGCGAAGCATTTGACAGGACGGCGATGGCAACATATGCCTAGTCTGGGTGGGAGGGTGGCGTCAGAAACCAGCTTTGGGGCCAGGGAAAATGGAGGGAGAACGGAGAGTGGTCACATTTAGGGCCTTGGTGGTCACTACACCTGATTGGGGAGCTGTTGAATAATGTGGCGTCCCTAGTGAGGTGCAGTGAATCAGTGACGCAGTGATGCATCTGCTCTCACGATTCGGACCCGTCACTGCTGGTGTGAGCCCTGAACTCGGGACAGGTCCTGGCCGGGCAGCCCGCCGAGCTACAGACGGTGGTCCGGGCGGGAGACCGGCCTCGAGCTACCGAGTGTGAACTGTGAAATAGGATCTGTCCCTCGCGGCGACCGGTTCGGAATCCAGTTACCAGCGCAAGTCAACGACTGGGGGAGCTGGCCAGGCCAGTCGGCAAGCGACGTGGTGCCTATCCGTAGCTAATGGTAGGTTCGGCAAATTAGGTACGCGCTATAGTGTTCCTATACTCACGACCGGAACCATTGTTCCATCGAATTATAGGAATTTATATCCAATGCATATTCTGACATGCAGTAAAAGGCTATCCTCGCTGGATGATGAATGGTTGGGCGCCATCCACAGATAACCTTCTTCTTTGGAGAGCGCTAATGCTGTTGTCGCTGAATTTCTAACCAGGTGGGCAGAGCCCCTGACCTTGTGGCTCTGAGGTGACTTTGGTAGCTCTGGTGCTGGCCGACGGTTCTGTGCGAGGCACCATATTCTGGGCCGCCCGGCACTAGGTAATATTTCCCAGACATGAGTGACCTTCAGAATGATAGCTTACTCCTGCAGTGCTGTCTGGATGCTGAATAGTACCGACCATAAAATATATATATAATAGTGTTATTGTGTTATAGTGTTATTGTGTCCAGCATTCAGCAACGAAATTAATTTGAGTCTAAATTAAGGGACGTATGTAATAGGTATGGTTAAGAAATTGTTTTAGCCTGTCTTACATTATTGTCCAACAGTTGGAGAAATAAGGTCTGCCCAAGTAGTTGCCTATGCATGAACAGATAAATGATAAATAAAAGAGAGTTGATCGCGATGAGCGGAGATCGAATGACAACAATTCCCGCGATCAATAAAGGAAGGGTATCACGGGTATTGCGTTTGATTTTGGAGCGACCGAAAACTATTTCAAGCAAGGCTGTGAGCCCTTAACGCGTTATAACTTTTACTATCCAGTGCCAAAGACTTAATAACAACTGTATATTTACTTTCCTCTTTTATCGCTCCAAAAAGTGTTAACACAAGAGCGAGGTACCGCGAATAACGGAGCTACTTTCAGCTATTATGCGACTAAAGTAACAACGTCTAGACTCTAGATATTTGCAGTGTTAAACGGGGTTGTTGGGTACTCGAGCCTTAGTGAGATACCATGGGTGATTGGTCAGATATCCTGGGTAATTGATCAGATATCTTTGATACCTAATTGATCAGGCATCCTGGATACTAAGTCAGATACTCTGGACAATTGGTCAGATGTCTTTGATACCTAGTTGGTCATGCATCCTGGATAATTGGTCAGAGTCAGATCAGTTAACCGACGTGGCGCGATGCATTATGCTTATTTATAAAAGCGTTGGCAAATACCTAAAGAGCGTGTGGGACTAAGCTTTGATGGTAGGTATCTGACATGAGTAGCGATGTGTGCAGCAAGATGTATACCTGAGCTGGCTGAAGCGACGCGGCCGACGCGGCGCACAGGGTGAGCGCCAGCACCGACAGAGCGACGGCCGAGACCATGGCGACTGGTAACGCTGGTACGCAGAGATGCAGGTGCTTCAGCCGCCGACGGTCCGACCTGTGACAAACGGGAGGGGCAATTATGAAAGGCAGCTACAGAGAAAATCGTCATCTTCTCTGTTTTAACATACACATTACGCACCCGATCCCAATTTAAATATTTAAATACCCACCCGATCCCGGGCAATTTGAAATATGTATCCCAATTACCCCATGTGTAGGTACTAATAAAAGAACCTCATTTGATAATTACCACACATTTTCAAACTGATCCGCTTGTCTCTAGCAAATCCCTGCTGAGCATCATCGTGAGCATTGTGGCAAAGCCAATACAGTAATGAGATGGATTACAATTTACAGGCACCGTTCACTATTGCAATGTCGCTTTGGAAACCGATATTCGTCCACCGATGCTGCACAATCGCAAACGATAGTCCGATTTGTGGCGGCTTAGCGCTCGGAGAATGCTTTCAAACCGACGCCAGCAAAGGTCCATCTGAGACATCTGACTAACACACATGCATGTTCTGCATGCGCCTGCAGCTTCGCCACACATTTCCCAATGGGAGCGGTGGCCTGCCAGACATTGCACCAGCGTCCGACTGCTGGCGACAGGAGATCGCTCGGCAACGCCGGGCTTGGCACCCGTCCGGCCACTGGGCTATGTGCCGCAGTGAGCAGTGGGTGGTTGGGTGGGTTAGGGGGTGGACGGAGAGCCGTGGGGTACCGCTCTCCAGGGCTTCGTTCACTGGACGAGGCGGGGAGGAGGTGGAAGGGGCGCGCGTGCACGAAGGATTAGGCAGATGCTAATTGCAGGGGTAGCAGCGGTGCACGAGGGATTGCCCTTCACCTGCAAAGGTGACGGAGAACATAGCAACCTTATTACTTTATTAGCTTCAGTTATTGTGGAATTCAGATGAAACCTGAAAATCAAATATTTGAAGAGCAGCGCGTGCGGCCGCCTGCACGCACGGCCGCCGTCCCTGCCACCGCCGCGCTGATCGGCTGTAGGGATACAGTGGCGTGCCGCTCTCCTCTCAGTCTGATCCATTACCCGGCCCGCACCTGCATCTGCACTCAGTGACGGCACAGGACGCATACCTCGCTAGTATCACCGCACACCCCGCTCGGAGCTCTGCCGCCGAGGGACCGGCACCGCGGGACCACAGGGCGGAGACGAGAGCTGTAGATGGAAGGCGGAGATGACCCATAAATTTAGAGGGGCAGTTTTGCAAGGACTGCTCGGGCGGGTTGATCCCCAGTACAAACCAGTTTTGTTCCGTGACCGAGGGGTATAGATGGGTGGCCCTGGTCTCGCATCTGCATCCCGTGATCAGATTGGTCCCACCGGCCACCGCGTATGGTCTATAACTTGATGCAGTAGCTGCAGCAATTCAGCATGTAATCGAGCCCACGGTCTCGGGTAAAAACGCGTATAAACATTAATGGCATAACATCACACACGATCGGCTATCACAATCAGGTACACAGCACTGCTAAAGGAAATCGATGGTAGGCCAAAAAAGTAGGTGTGGCAGTGGGATTCCCACACTCAGTTTTAATTTCATGTGGAGCCCTCAGCTACTCCCACTCCTTCCATTTAGTTATCGCACAAGCCAGTGAAGGTCTGATCGTGTGTGTACGGCAGTGAGGTGAGGTGAGGTTTTTGAACCGATAAATTAAAAAATAAACGTTTACAATCCATCCACTGCACCCTCAGATCGCACATTATCCCTTTCCGGCCGAGGGGGTGGGGGCGGCGTTTTTTTTTTCGCGACAGCTCCGAACACGCTGGCGATGGAAAGCTGAAACTTGGCATACCTGATATTTGATTCCAGCCGGATCTTTTGACACCAACCGCATTTTCGGGTCAGATCAGCTCATTGACCTCACTGACGTCATTATTGAACCTATGCACGGTCTTCAGATGTCGCAACTTCGGAACGCCCTCAGTGCCAGAGGAGCTTTTACAGGGAGATGAAATTTACATGATCTAGTATCCATTAGAGGTCTCACAACTTGTATATCTCGGATTTTTTCTAAAGGTCACATGAGGTCAGGTCAGTTTCGTGACCTCGCCATTATGCATAAGTCAACGGGGAAAAATAAAAAAAGCTATTTTGGCACCGGGAACGATCTTAAACTATATCAACCACACGGAATCGTGCTTTCATGCGCTCCTTGCAAGTATTGATGCTTCATTTTTGCCTTGCGTGACGTCATTTATGACGTCACTATGGTCATAAGAGTTTTTCGTCAATAACTCCTGATCAAATTAAGCTAGCGGGTCGGGAAAGCCACCGATGGGCTCGCGAAGACATGTCAAATCGAATGACATGCGACATGACCTTCTTCAACCGAGTTCGTGGACTAGGGGGCTCTGACCTGACCGTGACCTGAGGTCAACACCTAAAGTTGACCTCACCCAAACAAAAATTATACCATTCGACGCGCCTGAGCAAGGCGAACACGATGCTGTTCAAATCACGGTTCTGCCGCCATTTTTGCGAAGTCATTTGTCAAAAAGCGAACCCATACCTTGGGCCACTTGACCTGACCTCAGAGGTCACCAGTTGACCGGAGCCCCTTAAAATCGGGTACCAATCGCTGCATGGTCAAGGTCAAGGTCCGAGGTCAAGGTCTGGACAGTTTCTTATAGATAAAAACGCGCATCTAATTAGGTACTTATATTTGGGGAAGGCAATGTTCCACCCTATATGCAATGGTCAATAATCAATTCTCTTTGCTGACCTGAGCTCCGAGAGGTAACTCGTCCTGGGACTTGAAGTCTCGTATTTTGACCGGCCACATGTGTGGGCCCTCCTTCGTATGCCTACACAAAATAAAAACAACCGTGTTTCTCATTGTCTTTGAAGGTGGCCGTGAAAACTCTGAATGACAAAAAAGACTCTCCTCTCCCCTTCGCACTGTCCTGTTTGATGCTTTTGTGGTTTTGGGATTCTATGAAGCAGCTCGCGAATTGTGTATCTTGTGTCGTACCACAGAGAATCGATAGCACTGGCAGCTGCTGTTTTCGACCGCACCTGTCAACACGAGACAGTGGCGGCTATATATCTGCCAACTGCTGACACGTCGGCTGACGGGCGCCGGGTCCAGACGCGGTCTGCCAAGGCCACGGCTATAGTTTGACGAGCTCTGTAGACACTTCATCTTCTGCACCAAGGACAATCAAACTTATAAGGAAATTTATTGTGGCTGGCAAAGGTGTGATAACCAACTGATTTTGAATGCGACAATTAATTTAAATTTTAGATAAATATATAACTATCTAAATAAAAATAAAAACAAGATAAAAAATAAGCACGATTACAAAGTCGGTTGTCCTCTTTTCCTTACATATAAAAGGAAGAAACAACTTTTGATGACCAAACATATGAAGGATTATATAAATATATACTACCTATTGTTTGTCTTTATTTTTAAAAGTGTGTGACCATGACATATTCTCGGCGCAGTGACTTAACTATGAAGCAAGCCCTGAACCGTGAGTGGCGTACGAGGGACGATGGACGAAAGGTTCATTAAACAGTCACAGTGGCCAGTGCCCAGTTGTATGCGTTAGGTACTCCATTCTTCAGCGCCAATAAAGATGGTGGTATACCCTTAGGATCCAATTATGAAAAGCTTATAAAAATATTTTTTACTCATATAGCCTAGTAACCACCCTTATCACTTACCATGCTAATTTTCAACGATTTGGTAGCATCGTCCTGACCATAAATGACACATAATTAGGCATTCAATTGGCTTTTAGCGAGAGAAACTTTACGATGTCACTTGAAATAAATGTGCATTAGACACCAGCGGATCCCCGGATCGATGTGTGCTATCGGAGGGTTGCGGAACAGACGGTGGTCGGCCCGAGTGTGCAGTGTGCCGACGCCGTTCGCTGTTCGTTCGGCGCAGTTTCTGCGTCGGTGAGTGCCCACGTCGCGGTGCCGGCCGGTCCACCGAGCCGCGCAGCTGTCGTCCTGTGCTCGCCGAGTGGCTCGGCTCAGTGACAGACGCCCGGCAGACAGAAAGTGGCCGCACTCCCGGCTCTGGCCGCGCAGCTGCCACCGTTTCTATGTAAACGCCGTCCACCTCGAGAGTTCTGCGTGATGAATGACTCGCAGAATATTTGCAAGGTGCGCTGCTACACACAGCTAGCGCACTGCGGCTTCTCCGAGCTCTCTTCTGGTCGGACTTGGTCGGAGTGCTCCCTCACCACTGCCAATAGAAAACTACCTATTCCAAGCTCACTCCTGGTCACACCGTTCTTATGCCTTGCATCCCGTCCCCTGCTCCTCATCTTCGTCCCACTTCAACTATCCTCTCCATATCCCGTGCCCCGTCTCTTTCCGTATCTCGTCCCGTCCCATTCCGTGTGTTCCGTCCCACCCAGAGTGCCCGTCCCCATACCTTCACCGCCCGAGTCCGAGCTGTGGGGACAGCTCCGCGGTCCTCGCTGTCCGTCCTTCCTGCTGTCCTGGGAGCACCTGGCGGCCCTGTCGCCTCTGCCGCCGCCGGCTGGTCACTGGCGACGGACCGGCAGTGTAGCCCGCCCCCCTGAGCGGCGCCGCGCGCCCGCATGGGTCCTCCTTTCACTGTGCTGGAGCCGGCGCCGGGGTCGGCCGGCCGGGCGACCTTGCAGACTCGTCTTGTCGGCGCACCTGGACAGACGTGCGAGCCGGACAGTATCTCAGTATCTCACGAGCCGGACAGTATCTCACGGCCGTCGAGCCGCGCCGACCGGCAGCATCGGCACGCGGCAGCGCAGCGCGGACAGGTGACCACCCTCTGGTCCGGCACACACATACCTACCTGGCTGCTATTGCAGCTATGCTATCATTTGTTTATTTGTTTATTTCACAACATCGCCAACAGGCAGTGCCCATTGAGAGGCGAAGTCAAAAACATACGAATACATCGAAAGAAAGAATAGATAACAGTCTACTAGCTTTGCATGCTACATGCCTACACAATAAAAGCATATAATAAAAATAAATATGGTGAAAATATACCTGCTATAAAAATATACCTAATATAAATATGACTAATCAATAAAAGTATACACTAAGAACAAGACGCACTGTGATAAAAGTATACAGCATGAAGTATGATGGATAAAACACTATGTCAATGGCGTCGCTCTCACATACTTCCTGACATGACCTTTGAACATACAAAGGCTCATGTCAAAAACATCGGCTTTAGGAACATCGCGCAGGAAGCTATTCATCATCTCAGGAAGCCGGTTAAAAATTCCCGTCTTCACAGCGTTCACACGGGCATACGGAGTCTCAAAAAGCGAAAGTCGGCGTGTGGTGCGTCCGGGTACATGAAGTGAAAAACAGCTGAGGAGGTATGGCGTATCCACCTGACCGCGACAAACATTTCGTAAAAACATGATATCGTATTGCATGCGCCTGGCTTTCAAAGTGGGCATCTCAAAGACCTGCAGCACGTGGTCATAGGACAGCGAGCTAAACACAATGTTGTTTGATTTCGACGCCATCCACATAAGAAATTTGTGCTGTACTCGCTCCAGCCTCTCCACATGTGACTTTGCCGCGCCGCCCCAAATGACGCACCCGCACTCTAAGATGGACCGAATGTTCGCAAAGTACTTAGCCTGCAAGGTTTTCATGCATAATTTTTTATTCGGGAGGCCAGTCTGAAAAGACCTAATCAAAACGCCGAGAGCTCTGTTTGTTTTTGAAACTATGTGGTTGATGTGGGCCGAGAATGTTAATTTTGAATCCAGCATTACGCCTAAATCACGTACTTCGGAAACGCGCTGCAAAACCGATCCATCAATAACGTACGAGTGCATCACGGGTGACGACCTCAAGCTCAGTGTGAAAGCGAAGCACTTTGACGGGTTGAGGTGCAGCTTCCAGTCTGCCGACCATCTGCTGAGATTATCAAGGTCAGACTGGAGCTGCTCACAATCAGACATTGACCTAACCCGGTGATACAACTTAACGTCGTCCGCAAACATGATGCAATGAGATGAGTTCACAGCCATGGGCAAATCGTTGATAAAAAGCGCGAATAAAAGAGGTGCCAAAAGAGCCCCCTCTGGGACGCCTGACGTCACGTTCCGCCACTCGGACACTTTACCGTTCACCACCACCCTTTGCTCCCTGTCGGACAGATACGATTCGAACCAGTCCAAAATTTTGTCAGATAAATGATAAGAATTTTTCAGCTTGAAGAGAAGTAAACGATGATTAACAGATTGAAAGGCGGCCGAAAAATCCGTGTAGACTGCGTCCGTTTGACATCCGTCCGACATCGAGGTCCAGGCGTGGTGCAGGTACGTCGCCAGATTGGTAACACACGAGCGGCGCGGAAGAAAGCCGTGCTGCGCCTCAGAAAGGACGGGATATACGTGGCGCATCAGCTCGTTATACACGACCCTCTCAAGCACCTTCCCAAAGAGCGGAAGCAAAGACACAGAGCGGTAGTTTTCAGGAGCTTTCTTGATCGGAACAATGTTAGCTTGCTTCCACCTCTTCGGAAAGGAGCCCTGATGCAGTGATAGAGTGCACAGCTTCACCAACGGAACACTCAGCTCAGTGGCACATTCTCGCATTATACGTGCACTAATGTTATCAGGACCGCATGCCTTACTCGGGTTTATCGACTCAAGAATAAGACGCACCTGATCCTGGGACACACTGACACTGGTAAAAGCGGACACGTCATAGACAGGTGCGAGTGGGTACACAATAACAGAAGGGTCACAAAACTTGGAAGCAAAAGTATCATTTAAAAGAGATGCTCGCCCCCTATCATCCGTCACAAGCCGTGTACCGTCCCTTAGCACTGGATTGACAGATCCCTCTTGTTAATCATCTAATAATAATCATCTAATCATCTACTGAAAATAGCAAATAATGCATTTAGAACAGTGTTGGACACAACTGAGGTTACTTTTTGTTATCTACATACCTTTTTGTCACGCACAAAATTGATCAAATGGAACTAGCGCGTCAGTTTCCCTACGAAATGAGCTCAGGATGAGCTGTCAAATTGAATGGTGTGAAACAAAAGCTTAAACCACTCTACTTGTACAGCTAAAGATCGGTTTATCAAGGTGTCATTTTAACACTAACAAAATTTTTAGGTCAGGTCACGTCGCTGACCTATAACGTCCTAAGTGAACCTTAACGCGGTCCTAAAATGTCGCAACTATGCAACGCCCTCAATGGCAGGATATCTTTCACAGTGGGGTGAAACTTAAACGACCTCCAAAGTCCTCACCACTGATATCACTCAGATATTTGCTAAGGGTCAACTAAGGTCAGGTCGGTCACGTGACTTCACCAATATAAGTCAGTGGGGAAGATGGAAACTGTGCGGGCTGCTCCCTTGGAGCGGCACCGCTGCTCCCGAGGGAGCGCACCCCGTAGCCGGGTGCAGTGAGTGCCTTGGGGCTGGGTGGCCTGTCATCTGGACGGGCTCAGCCCCGGCGACTCACTAGGGTGCCTGCCCAGACCAATGTCTCCCCCTATATCCTATTATCCTCCCGGCTCTGAAATGGTCTAATTGGACCGAAAGGTCCTAACCCAACAAAACAAAAACAATGGAAACTGTTATTTTAGCACCAACAATGGCCTTAGACCTCGAGCACATGGAAGCGTGATTTTACACATTTCTTGCAGAATCCGCTTCACTCGGGCATTGCTCACCTAACTTGACATCGTCAATGACGTCACTAAGCGATGAAATTGAGCTAGCGAGTCGGTAAAGCCATCAACGACTGAAAAAGACCTGCAGAGTCGAACGATATGCACTGTGACCTCCTTCGACCAGCTTCGTGACCTGAGTGGCTCTGGCCTGACCTCGATGTGAGGTCGATATCCTTTTTTCAAAACAGATGCATATTTTTCGACGCGCTTGGTAAGGAAAAAAACGATGGAATCAAAACCGTGGCTTTACGACCATTTTGTTGGTAGGTAAAGCCAATAATCAATCTTCTTCCTTGGGGCACTTGACTTGACCTCAGAAGTCACCACTTGGCCATAAAAAAGTTTAGCTCCCTTTGCGCTAAACTGGTGCTACTAGGGTGCTATTCAGATGCTAAGAATTTATTATGCTTAAAATAAGCAGCATTTTATAAAGCAGATGCTAAAATATAGCATCACATGCTTGATATAAGCATGCTACGATAAATGGATGCTTGGTTTAACCTCCCGCTATAAAATAGCATAATTAATTACAGCACCTTATAATAATGAAGGTGCTGCATACTAGCACCCCATTTCATTATCTTAGAAATATCAATACATGGTGCTAAATATCTGCTAATTAGCTCCTTAGGTGCTAACGTTGTGCTACACTGAAACCCTGTAAAAAGATTAGCACTTTTTGTGCTAAACAACTGCTATTAAGGTGCTTAGGATTAGCACCTATTCCGATGGAACCCTGGAGTACAACCAGGGCACTGAAGCTTCAAACGTCACACACAGATGGCGCTGTTTCATACGGCTTTGAATTACTGCGATTTTTGATGTTTTTTTTGCACTACTGATATAGTTGCACATTTTTTTGCGTTTTCCAAGAGGGGCAGAAGTAATATAGATAAGATGCATCTTCAAAACCTCTGCAACATTCATTACGTGACTATTGGCAACGCTTTTGTTCCGAAACTGACAACTGAAACCAATTCAATTCATTATATAGGTCACAAAAGCAACCGCGAAACATCACCTATCCGTGCTTCTATCCTCAGGATACTGAAATCCTTCTCCTCCACACCGCAACCCCCTTCCGGGCTGGACAGGCAACTTTATCTCATGCGGGCTGCTCCCTTGGAGCGGCACCGCTGCTCCCGAGGGAGCGCACCCCGTAGCCGGGTGCAGTGAGTGCCTTGGGGCTGGGTGGCCTGTCTTCGGACGGGCTCAGCCCCGGCTACTCACTAGGGTGCCTGCCCAGACCAATGTCTCCCCCTAATTCCTATCATCCTTCCGGCTCTGCAATGGTCTTGTCGACCGAAAGGGCCTAACCCAACAAAACAAACAAACCGCGAAACATCGACCGTTCCGTGCTTCTATCCTCAGGATACTGAAATCATTCTCCTCCACGCCGCAACATCCCTCCGGGCTGGACAGGCAACTTTATCTCATGCGGGCTGCTCCCTTGGACCGGCACCGCTGATCCCGAGGTAGCGCACCCCGTAGCCGGGTGCAGTGAGTGCCTTGGGACTGGGTGGCCTGTCCTCTGGACGGGCTCAGCCCCGGCGACTCACTAGGGTGCCTGCCCAGACCAATGTCTCCCCCTATATCCTATCATCCTCCCGACTCTGAAATGGTCTCATTGGACCGAAAGGGCCTAACCCAACAAAACAAACAAACAAAAAACCGCGAAACATCTTTGCTCTCCCACGCGATCGGCGTGACTGGTTGTGGGAAAAATTTCGAATTGACATCATCTGGTGAATGTGGACAGTGGACACCTACATTTGTAGGAGTTCATCTCCCTTCATGGTGTGACCGCCTGTGATCGGTAATGATAAACTATATATATTGGATAATGAAACAACCGATGACCCAAAGCATCCTGCATGACTTTGCTCAACCGTG